GATAGAGTTTCAGTGCGCGGGTCGAGGCCGCCGTGGGTCGCCGTGCCCGTAGAGAAGCGAAGCGCTTCTGGACAAGCGAAGGAAGGGCCTCGGGGCACTTCGAAAAGACTCTTCCGTCGGCAGGACGGGCAAGCGCTGGGGCTTTGGGGCAAACGAGCCAGCGACGGGGTCCAACTGGGGGAAGAGGCAAGAGGGACCGCCCCCTAGTCGAGCGCAGTAGAAGAGTGGAGGAGTGCAGCGAGGGCTAGAGCAGAGCAGGCAGCCAATGGACAGCCGCCGAAATATTTGCCTCATCTCGTGCTGGGCTTGTCCGGGCCCGCCGCTGCCATGCTTGAGGCCCGTATGAGGCCGCGAGGAGGCCGGCGGCCGACGTTCCTCTACCTGGTTGGTGCCCCTCTTCCCGTTTCTCCCACTCAGCGTGGCCTGCCTGCCGGCCTTCTTGCCTGCCTGGCTGACTGCCCAGCACAACAAGCGAGCAGCGGCAAAGCAGGCAAGACAGCTACGGCAAGCACGGCAAGCAGCATGCAGGAGGTAGGTGGCCAGACAAGCATCCTTGCGCATCCCCGCCGCGCCCCTTACGCACTGCCGCCATTGCCACTCAGCTGCTGCTAGATCCCGTGACTCCCCATGGGAACACTGCCTGAGATTGGTCCACGCGTTCCCCGTTTTACCCTGCTTGCAGGCTGCAGCTTGCCTCCTAAACCGCTGCCTGTTTGACGGTACAGCAAAATATGTCGCAAGTGGAGAGCGCTACCGCTATCCCGTCGTCCCTGGCATGCACGGGGCCGATCCATAGGACCTATGCAAGCTTAGAGCCCTCCACACGAGAATGATGAACAGCGATTTGGAGTAATGGGACAAATAACTACGAATTCTGAACGTTACAGGCAAACAGGTCGTCTTTATCCGCCGGAGCTGCACAAAGATGACGACGATGCAGACCAGAAAAACAACAAACGGACAACCAAAGAAAACCATAGTGGAATTCGATAGAACGACTCTACTTACTGAACCATTGCTAGAAAAAGGTCGCTGGAACACTCTCCGGTTATTCTACTTGTTTAGTTTCGTTTTACGGGCAAAATTGACATTAGCCTCTTTAAACAAAATAGGCTGTAGCGAAAACAAGAGATTTATTGTTTGTACTTATTTGTTACATTAACAATGCGTTTCAATGTTTTCCGTTTTGTTATTATTATTTATAGAACAGCAGCAGATTCTAAATAACAATTGCTGCTAGACAGGCACATTGCCAATATGAACATAACACAATTGGTAACTTTTGTTAGCAGCTGTATGTAGCCTAGAGATGGCGACGATTGCACGATATTGTAATATCAATTAGTCAATGGTAAAGCATGTCTTGTTTTTCCGCGGGCTCACCAGCGATTTTTTTGTGTAGCAAACGTAAGTTACGTGGGAACGCGACACGGAGTCACTGATCGCCGATAAGTATTGCCAACAATGCGACCATGCTCGATGTGACAATCGGACATTTTCTGAAACCAAAAACTAGAAGAAAACTGTGAAAATCGTAACTTTCACAGGAAACAAGTACTCATTTGGGAAAGGAAATTGAGTTTATTACGTACTTTAAGTGATGGACGTGTGTTACCGAGCGATTTGCTCATCCACTTAAATAACCAATGCACACTAGTACGGTACTGTAGCAGGCGGAGTACCACAGGGCGTTTACTTTACCCCTAAATGCATACGTTGCACAACATCGTAACGGCTGAATAATTCGTCCATCTTAAGCTAGTTAAGACGTGCTCTAAAGAAGGGAACCGGGTGGCGAAATCCTGCTCCGTTTAGATGTATGGGATCTTCATGGCATTCTAAATACGTCGTTCCTCCCAGCTCAGTGCTTGGTGGCTGTCGCTTCTACTGTGCCCTTGTGTGTCTTTCTATGCTTAACAACATATATGCTTATGCATCTGTCTGTCTCCGTGCGTATCATGCGGTCGTGGGCCCTCAACATCCTCTTGAACAACTCTTCCATAACACTCGTTGTCCTATCTATCCTTCCTCCGCTCCGAATCATAATCCTGAGTAAACCTTCATTACAACATTACCACCACGCGTAGTGCGAACCGCCATCGCATCCCGCTCGTGCCTGTGACCATCGTTGCGAGCAGCAGGACAACCGCGGGTCGCTTCGTGGAGAACATGAAGAAGGTCCAACGTTGAGCAAGTAGACTTGAAGGCAGGCTCTCGGTGAGCGTACCCCCCTCTCCCCCTGTCACCGGCGCCAGCGCCGCTTCGCCATTCACAAGCCCTTTCTTCAGCTACCTCCTGGACGGAGCTTCCCTTCAAAGCCTTCGTCCCAACCTTCGGCCCACCTCCTACGCTTACTACCGCCTGAACGGCACCACACAAAGCCAGCGTACAACACCCTAAAAAGAGTTAATTACGTTCTCTGGGCTATTATACACCAGTGCGACACAGTTGTGCCTGTTGAACATAACACGCAAGGCGGCAAGACACTGGGCGTGCGGGCGCGCCCCGAGTGGCCTCGCCGCGAGTACCACTTCAGGAGCCTTTCAAAGAACGACAGCGTCAGTCGCATTAAAGGCAGCCATACGGCTTCTGTTTTCTTAACAAACTTACGTTTTTCGGTCCCGGATGCCGCCACTCCATAAAGGTGAACAGGCAAGCAGACCTCCGAAAGTTAGACATCCAACTTATATACTAGCATAGTTTGAGAAAGAAACGTCGCAATAGTCACATAAATCTCAACGACGAAAGATATATTTGAAAAGAACGTGAAAAGAGGGGGATATTTGAGGACGAATTATGAGAAAAAGTCTTATTGCATCGCGAATGGCAACGTCTTCTTTCATCTCACCAATCGTTTAGCAACATACTAGCAAGCTGTACTAAATCAGCACTGGAGTAAAGGTTGTCGATTGTCGTCTTTCTATTGGAAAAAGTCTTGGCAATAACTCGTGCCATGTTAGAAAACCCAGATTGCCGTTAGCTTCGACAGAGGGTTGATAAATAAAAGAAAAATATTCGAGAAAACAGCTGATGTCTGGGTTTGTCCTTTTTGTCTGTTCCCTCGTATTGGATGAGAGGAAAGAACGAGGCAAGAGAAACACAGCGAACACAAAGGGATGAGCGAAGGGAAAAAGAGCACGAAAAACGAACTCGTAGCAAGACAGCGAGCAAAAATAGATAAAGCTCGTTGGAGATGACGGTATCGACGAAGAAGAGGGACCATCGCCCGAGTATAGTGCGAAGCTGGGGGAGAGGGGACAGGGGTTGGGGACAACGCCTAGAACTCCACCGACAGAGAATGCATACTGGGAATAGAATAGAACGCAATGGGGTAAAAGACAGACGAGTACATAGACAGCAGAGCGTGCTTGGCCAGCTGGGTGCCCAGCCGCCCGTTGGGGTTTGACATTGACGTGGCATTAAAGACAACGAAAAGGAAGAAAGGCTGCTGCTGTCGCCGTGGGTGGATAGATTTGCCAGTGGCGAATGTGAGGGCAACGTCGGATGGTGCGCACACTATGAGCGCAAAAAGGTCCGGGTGAGTTTTGGGCAGTACGGAATGCCGGTAGGGCTACTATTGTGCTTGCTGTGATCAGAAGCTGAAAGACAGGGGGAGCTTCCTCATAGATAAAACTGATAAAGCCGTTCGCGACAACGTAGGAGCGCACAGCATTCAGTAGACATGAGATGGCCGTAGACAGACTGTGTCGAACATATACAGACACACACAGAAGCAGAGAGAGAGCTTTGGCTGTAGACGGCTACCAAACCGACATGACTATTTCAGTGAGCGGAGCGCACAAGCAGGGAATAATGAATGGTCATGTAGACTTGAAGGATGCTGGCGCGAAAACACTATACCAAGATGCAAACCAGTCCATGACATATATACAAGCATATGGGTAGACAAATGCGAGCTTTAGCTGATTAAGTAGATCATTTCCAGTTACCCAGTTATCTAGTGATTGTCTTGGTAGATTGTGTCGGTTGTTTTATCAGTACTAGTTGTGTGTTGTGTGTCACACATTAAGAACACAATGAATTTTATAAAAGGCACGTCTCGACGAACGACTGTCAGGGGGTTAGTTGGCCAATCGGCCCGTCCCAGCGCAATTAGAAAGGCCCAAAGCATCGCTTCGTCTGAGACGTGTTCACGATCTTGTCTTAGCTGCCTTTGTTCGTTGTTACTGCTGCTCGAGGGTGGGATGGTCAACGAGATGAAATGTTGTCGAAAAACGTCTCTGTTCCACTGACCAGTAGCCAGAAGTCATCGGCGGCAGTAGCGTCAGCTAGACAGTCATTTGGTTCAGCCATACGACGGCGCTAACCAATAATCATCATGGACAATTTTGTGGACAAGACTATCCAAATCAACAACACACGTTGGTACCGACTAAACCCATTGACGAGTTCGCACACCAAGAAATATCTGAGAAAGTGTTGCATTGTGAGAATGGTGGTAACCAGCAGCGTTTCGTAGCCAATCAGCCGCGCCGCCAAAAAGCCCGGACCGATTGTTCCAGCCGAATGGATGATTCTCAAAATTTGCACTGACTGCTACCATTGGAACGACAGCAACGCGGCTTCAGTTAAGGAAGAAGCCAGTAGGAAAATCTACCTTCTGCCCAGATGAAGTACAACGATCGCCAGCAGCAGGATAAAGTAGCAAGTGATTAAAATGTTGAGAATACCAAAGTGGAACACAATTAGTAGCTACCCAGAAAAATAGGCGATCGCTGATTTCAGATAGATATGCATGTATTGGGTAACAAACAACTGGTACCAAAGATATAAGGCACTACCTTTTCTATAGTAGTCGGATAAATATTTGGGACTTCTTCTCCAAACGTTTGCTCGCCTAGAATTATAACTTAAGCAATATCGTTTCGTCAGCTTATTAACTGCATTGCCCAAAATATACAAAGGTTTGCAGTACTAAAGTAACCTGAACACTGTAAAGAAAAGAAGAGCAAACTCAGTAATACAATCATTGAGCTTACCAGTAGATGAGGTGTTCGTATCTGCATCGGCGAGGACTGATTTGTTGTTGTCCACGGCGGTTGCAGAGGCAGCTGAACTACTTTTGGCCTTCTCGCGTGGTGAGGGGGCTCGCGAGTCGTCGTCGCGGGTTCGCTTGACGCCTCGCGGACTCAAGGGTCGTGAATCGCCGTCGCCCAGGCCAGATCCTGCCGTCGAACCAGTAGGCGACTGGGGCGAATGCGTCGAACCGGACATCGTGGACAAACTTGAAAGGTTAGTAAGCGCATTAAGGCCAGACAGTACGCCCTGAGGAAGGCTGTGCAGGGCGACACCAAACGATTTTTTCGCAGTGCTATTTTCCTTGTTACTACAGTTATGCATTTTGTGCTCGATGAAACGCAGTATGTCAACCAACGCGAACCGCTGGTAGCACACGCCGCACGTTAGAACGTCATCATCCATTCTCCAAGCGTTGTCCACCTCAACTGAAAATAGAGACACAAAAGAAACAAACAAAACAGATTAGTTAATGCCGATTGAAAGTTTCTTGCCCAATGTAAATTCGTTAAGATTTCCGCTTAACTGCTTAACACCTGCTTTAATAGTCATGCGCCGCTGTTTGCCGGCCCGATGTCTGTTACATCATCCTTTTCCAGGACATTTTCCATCTCATTGCTGGAGTAATATAATAACTTCCTAAAATTCTTTAGTCTAGCCAATATCCTCAGTCGCTTTTCATCCCGCGCGGCGGCCTTCAACTTCGTCTTTTCCTTCCCCTTCTGTTTTGCTAACCACGCTATGATTTGAAGCCCTCTGAGAGGAAGTTGCCATTCATGACGTGAATATGAGAAGAGCTCTTAAATTCAAATTTGCCACCATTATCTAGGCGGGACGAGTGCGGTCGGTCTGCCGACGGCCTACTGAGGAGCGGCCACGGGTTGAAGCGGCGGCGTGTCGACGACCGAAGGGCACAGCAGCCTGGCACCCACTGCCCTCGTCTTTCTTAGCGGTGTCTAAGAAGTTCCTAATCGGTAGGTCGGTGATTTGAGCCTGCCAACCCGACCTATGCCAACCCCTTTAGTCCCAATCTTTTCTCACCCCCAGCACCTCGGACAGAGTTCTCGATTGCACGCCCCTCGCACGCGTTGTTCCTACTGGCCATTCCCGCCTGGTTCTATACCGGCACTACTGCTACCACCAGCTCTATACAGAGATTTTTTTGGCTTTAGCTGATAACGCTCTACAAAGGCTGCGCGTTGGCAAAAATTGGATGATTGGATAGTCAATCCCCTAACGGCAAACACAGCAACGTCAGCATGAATACAGATAGTAGCGAGAGGAAAAAAGAGGAAGACTGAAAGAAAGGAAGGATACTTGCTCAGCGAAAAACGCGCAATGACAGTGGCACTGGGTGCCAACAGTAGCAGCGATGTCACTGAGAAACATTTCGTGTAAATCATCATCATCATACACAATTAAAGGGGTACATAAGAATGTATAGGTACTAAACAAATGAAAAGAAAGAATGAGTTAAGTAAAGTTTTAAGGTTGATCTGAGAATGTGCCACCGTAAACGTATTGCTTCTATACATTGCTAGCTGATCTAAAAAAGTGTGTAGCGAGTAAACCATAGGACTGTCGTTGGTGAAAGAACTGGTTCCCGTTGCCGGTAGTGGCTGATAGGATGTCCTTATTACTTCTACGTGCCTATATACATAGACCGGCAGAACGTGAACACAGACAGTATTGTCACCGCTATACCATTGGCATATGGTCAAACTGCCTGCACAAGCCTAAAGGCAACCGATGCCGATGGCAAACCCGCGCTCGCCCCTTCTGGGTACTTCCGGTGCCTTCATTGCCTACAGTAAGCTCCGATCCGCTCACAGTTGCTTCTGCCCACCACACTAGTACTCAGGGTCTTCTTCGCAGGAGAAACATTCGGGGTAGCTGGCTAAGTGACTGAGTGCAACCAGCGGCGAAGGCAACCGCCGTAGCAATGAACACAGCCTAGGTGTAGGGATAGGACGAGACTCGCGCCCGCCTTGGGTAGATTTGTATCAATTTTGATAAGTGACTCCCCTATCTTCCTACCAAATGGGCTGCCGCCTCCGCTTCTTCTACTACTACTACTACTGTGAGACACACCGCTGCTGGCTGGCTGGTTGGTTTGATGCTATGCCCCCTCAGTATGTAGGGCGCCTTTTGAGAAATAGCTACCTAGCTTCAGCCGTTTGCCTCCCACCTACTCCCGCTACATCTCATGGCCTATCGTGAGGCCATATCATGTGGTCTACGCGCAATGGGTGATGAAGGCGGCTCGTAAGAGGATGACAATCGTCCTGTTCCACTATTAGTGTCTGTATCAAACACACTGGGTATGTGTGCCTTTAACCCCCCTCCCCCTCCCCCCCACAGAAGAACGAAAAGGGGAACTAAAGCCGAACCTCGTTCACAGGCTTTCTTGGCTTTAACTTCAATTTTAGGAACTGTGGAAACGCGGGAAGCTGCGGCCTGTTTGTTCGTGCATGTCGCTAGTGTCAGGCAAGTGAGATACCTTCTCTACTCTATAAACGACGTCTCCGGAAACTAAGCAGGAAAGCTAGTTACTGGGGTGTCCGCCATACCAACGATGAGCTTCAAATAGCCCACAAGGCTAGCTGAATCACCAGCTAGCCAAAAGGATCGTAAATCCGTCGCATCTGCTTGTTGCAACCCAACCGTCTGTGGCCGGTCAGCAGTTGTAGAAGACGGGCAGAGAGGACCAGTTGATCCCACGTCAACCGTAAGCCACCTTTATTCTTAGCATAATAGAAAAAATGTTACCATAACAACAATAATCCTAACACGACTACTTCCTTTTGTTTTTCGGCTAACCGGTCGTTCGTAGGCAAACTGTTCGAGTAACTATTAGAGTATCCTGATTTTGACAGGTTTTTCTCACCGAAAATAACACATCTAGTCCAGGCATGTCTATTCGGTTTCTGTCGTTTTTCGACGACATAGAACCTAAATGCAGAACTTCGCATTCTTTGGCTGACAGCATTGAGGTCCTACTAGTGCCTTCAACCGCAGCAAACATAGAGTGGTAGAATAATCAAACAAAAAAGAAGAGCCGACAAGGAATAAGTTTGACGACAAAGAGAAGGACAGTTCGATGACAACTCGTCGCAGATGGCCAAACGAAACGAGTTTGACGCAGTGGGTGAACTACTTCGATCTTGGATCGCGATTCATTCGTTCATTGGCGACGCGGTGCCAACCACCACCAGTTGGTACGGGCAAGCAGGCAAGATAGCAGCAGCAGCAGCGACGACTTGAGCACAAGAGCTTGAGCTACTCACTGCCGCACCATACTACGGTGGTCTATACCGCTCGGTGTCCATGGCACGCTACAGCAGCACCAGCAGCATCAGGAAGACAGGAGATAGTATGCAAAATAGAACGACAAAGGACCCGCCTGTATTCGACGAGACGGTAGTCGCTCCAGTGACCCCTCCATCTACACCCTCCGCCCCCTAGCTCTCCGCTCTCGCGTCCTCTTAGCAAGACCAACTGATTGATCCACTGGAGCAAAGCAGAGCAGATAAAGAAGGAGAGAGACTGAGAGGCCAGCTGGGCTTCGGTCGACCGACAGGACGCAGTTCGAACTGCAATGGCCGAAACTATTGCGCATTTCAATTGACTCTTTTTCAACTCCCCCGCTTGCCTATCTCGTTGGCTGACCCCCTCTATCCTCCTTTTTGCATACGCCCCGCTTTACTCGACTTCGGCCTGAGGAGCCACCAACGCCTCGGCCAACATCCGTCGGTCTCGTGCTACTGAGCCGCCTGCTTCTCCTTGGCAGATCGCGAGCCCCGCGATAGGATATAGTTCGAACTTTTTTGCTTCTCGTCTCGTTGCCGGCATTTTCGTCGTCGTTTCACAAATCGAATTGGCATCGAAAGAGTAGTCCACTAGCGGCGTTCGAGGAGACCGTTGGCTCCTCCGTACCTGGACACCTGATTGAAGATCGTTGGCCGCGAAGGAACGTGCGCGCTGTGGGTGAATGCGTTGTGGCGGGACGCCTATTCAAAATGGTGCCGTGCACCCAGGCTGGTAAGGAGCTAAAGGGGAGACCACACTGGAATGTGTACGGACTGAAAGAGAACGACAGGATAAAGGGGCAGCAACATCTGAGTATCACGATTCAGCTAACATCAGCGTTAAAGTGCAATGAAGCTAACGCTCTACAGTCTAAAACAAACTTTACATCGATATGATAAAATGGTTAACAAAAAATGGTCGTTTGTTTAAATAGTTAAATAATAAATTAACTTGAATAAAGTTCCTAATTATGAAGAAATGTTCTGGTATAAATTATTAAATAGTATCATGTATTTATTAGCAGTTATTTCCAAGTGAAAAGGGTACAGAATAATCTCATATGATTTTCATGAACCCCTCAACTTATTAGATAGAGAATAGTTATCGATTTATTTACTGTGTTCTTATTAGTAGTGACAGTCTCTTATCGAAGTAAATACCTCACATTAAACGGTATTTTATAAGGAATCCCAGTTGGTAGGAACACTACTGCCTCTAACGGGTTAGCTTGAAAACAAACGTTTTTTACCACTGCTTCGTTGTCTCATTCTGTTTCATTCTTGCTTCATGACGTCCGAGAAAAATTTTCATTCATCTGCCAATCGATATCTCATCGATATTTTTTTGTTCGAGGTTTGTCTTTCTCTTGCACGTAACACCAGTTGCGTCCTGCCATGGGTGCAAGACGGTTAACTGGCCCGCGCGTACCCACGAATATTTCAAATAGGATGGCCCCATTAGGCAGCACTCGGTTAGATCGTTTCTGAAATGAACAGACCAAGTCTGATTGCGTAACCTCGGTGGTAAAACGCCTTGACAAGTGAGCGCATCTCGCGGACGTTCAACCTAATCTATTTCCATTAACGATGACAAACCCTGCTAGTGGACAATGGCCAGAACAACATAGGACTGTCTTCTATATTCGACATGCTTGTGTTAGTGTTAGCGAAGCAAAACGAACGGGCTCGAAATACCAGCTGACAGAATCAGTTCTACGGTGCTATCTTGAGTTGGACTATCACAAAGGTGATTTACGCGAACTCAATGAATAATCGCTCTTTGCCGGCGTGGGCGGAGGCTTTAGGAACGCGTTAACACGCTAAGAGGCGATAATTTACCTATCGCTATATATCCAGCTACCACCGCCTTTGCTTTGATCGTTGTCGCAACCGCCGTATTTGTTCGGTTGGAAAAGCAACGTGATCACCGCAATCGTCTCTGCTTGTTACGTTTATGCGTGTTCTATGAGTGTGTGAGCGAAAAAAACTATCCGTTGTTCACATCGCCCCGACCTGTATTTCCATCCTAAACATCGGGGACGTAGCTCTTTACCTAACCTACTGGCGTTAAACGCGTTGGGTGTGACCGCTTTAGACGCCGCTGCTTGGCGTACCACGGA